GTTGCACGCGCAAAAGAGAAGGTCTGCACACATCCAAAAACGCATTTTCAATGCAAAATTGATTTCCGTGCGCTCGAAAGACTTTTTTCTTTGAACATTTTCTCCACAAAACTCAGATCGCGCGCGTGCAAAATGCTCTGTTGTGCGCTCAAAATATGATCTTTCGCGCGCAGAATTGTGGCAGAAATGTAAGCCCATAACACAGGAGCTCCAGATGATCCACTCAGCGCTACCGCTCCAGTATGAATGAGCCAACTGTTCCGAAGCCGGATCAGCTGAGATAACAGTCCCAAATGAGAAAGAATGTCGTTTGTCCTTACGCCTACAGTGCAAACGCGAGAGACTAGAACGCTGTCATTGCAAACTACACATAACTAATAGTCACCTTTTCCACGTAATATGTATTTTTGATTATTTAGCTAGCCCTGCTGTGAAAAACCAGCAAACCACATAAGGCTGGTTTATGTTGTATATGTTTTATGTTTATTTTCTTAGTGGAGTGAGAGCTTCTCAAGTTGCACTACTCTTGCTGGAAAACAAGTTTCAGAAGGGTTTTAGATACTTTTCTGCTGGTCTCACTGGAAGCACATGTCTGACCTAAACCATCTGACCACTAGCTTGGCCCAGCTGGGAGACCCTCTTAATTCAGCTAACTGTCTTAGGCTGGTTTATTTTATTATTTATTTTTTATAACAGTTGCTGATAAATTACAAAAACAGGAACACTCAGGTCTGTCAGGAAGACCTTAAAATGAATTACAATAGCATATTCCACCAGGAGGAATTTGCCTGTGCACACCTGCCTGTAAACAATGTTGTTTTGACATGTTCTGTACTTGAATTTACTGGTGTAAATACAGGCACAACACCACTACAAGTGTAGTCATTTAAAGGGGTCATATGCTGTTGCTAAAAAGAACATTATTTTGTGTTTTGGTGTAATGAAATGTGTTTATGCGGTTTAAGGTTAAAAAAACACATTATTTTCCACATACTGTACATTATTATTTCTCCTCTATGCCCCACCTTTCTGAAACGCTTCGATTTTTACAAAGCTCATCAGTCTGAAAAGCAAGGTGTGATGTGATTGGCCAGATCCAGTGCGTTATGATTGGCCGAATACCTCAAGCGTGTGACGGAACTGTTACGCCCCTTCCATACTGTGATGATGCGCTGTCCGGCCGGAGCAATGATTCAAAAACATGAAAACCCATTATA